CCGGCTGACCCCACCTCTGCAGCAGCATCACGGACAGCCTCCCCCTCCAACTTCACGTGCCTCTGCGATGCCGGCTACTCCACTCTCGACTCAGGCAACGGCTCCACATGCGCCATTGTCAACTCCACCACCACCACTGGTAACCTTTGCTTCAATCTTATGAAACTGCCTAGGCTTTCAGCACCGCCTCAGCCTGGCAGCATTGCCCATTCTTACGCGCTGCACCAATACCCATGTCAGCTGGCTTTTCTCCTACACACCTTTTCACTCCTTGCCTTACCTCGACACCTTCGTCTAACCACCGCCCCGATTCCCGTAACCTCCCATTCGTTGGCAGTGTCGTCGCTATCCACGGGTGCCATAGTGGGCATTACTCTAGGCTGCTTTGCTGGCTTCATTTTGCTGGCTTTTGTGGTCACATGGCTGCTGTGGCCCCGTGGACCAAGTGAGCTCTTCATCCCTTCTTCAGTTCCATTCATTTCCGTCTCCCCTATTGCTGTGCCTGTTTTCTGGCCTCCTTCCCTCCCCAGCTCTGCCATTATTACTGCATTTCAGCTCTGTCTCTTCGTTGCTCTCATATTCTGTCTACTCATTTACTCCCCTGGTCGTTCATCCCCCTTGTCCTCATGTGTGCGCAGAGAAGTGGGAGGGGTTGGATGTGTGTGAGCAGTTCTCGCTGCAGCAGATGCTAAAGGCCACCAACAACTGGTCGGAGGACAATGTGCTGGGCAAGGGAGGCTTCGGCATTGTCTACAAAGGCCGCTCGTCACATGGCCAGCTGTGGGCCATCAAGCGCTCCACCATCATGACCAACGACTTTGAAACGGAGGTGAGGCAAAAATTGGTACTTGTCAGAAGACATGCACTGGGGATTTTCCGATTGATCCTAAGGAACGGTTATAGACACGTTTGTCTAGAGGTTAAGGGTTCACTCACCCATTTTATGTCAGTGTTGTAGTGGCTGAAATTCTGACATGGTATCAGAGCGAAGGTCTTGGATTCGAATCGTGTGCTCACATGTTGGCTTTCATGTGTCTCTGCTGCTATACCGTGTTCTAGGGCATCCCAATGACAAAGGGGTGTCAGTAGACCTGCACTGAAAATCCCCGATTGATCCCAGGAAAGAGTTCCAGGCACGCTTGCCTAGGAAATTATGGGTGCACTCGCTACTCAACAAGCCATTTTATCCCAGTAATGTAGTGTGTGGGGTTCTAACAATACTCCATTGTTTTCAGAACGTCGACTTGCACATTCAGTGCGCGCATTCTGTTTTTCAAAATGCTGACTTGTAGCCCATACGCATCCCCCTGCATTGTGTTCCATGTCCGTGTGGCAACTGCCGACCTGCATATTCAATGCCCACCTTTCCTCGGCCATGTGCGTCTGCCTGTATTGTCTTCTCACTATAGGTGCGAACCATGGCGTCTCTCCACCACACACACCTCGTGCGCCTGCTGGGCTTCTGCCTGGACCAGAACGTGGAGACGGGCAAGCAGGAGCAGATTCTGGTGTACGAGTTTATAGGCAACCGGGACCTAGAGTGCCATATCCATGCAACCAAGCGTGAGTTGCACAGCCACAATGACGAAATGGATGCCATGCGGTTTTTTCTTTTTCTCTTTCTGTTTTGCACAAGACATGACACCATCACTAAAAAAGCCATCATTCATAACTTATTTTTCATTTTTCACTCGCTTCTTGGTGTACATATTTCATGACCTAGGTCCGCTGTCGCTGCGCCAGAGGTTGCGCCTAGCACAGGGAGCAGCAGAGGGCCTGGCGTACCTGCATGGGTTTGACACACCCATCGTTCACCGCGACATCAAGCCGGCCAACATCCTTGTGTCTGCCGACATGCAAGCCAAGGTGGCTGACTTTGGGCTGCTCAAACGCCTCACTCACGGCGATGCTGATGCCACGCGAGTGGCCGGCACTCCGGGATATGTGGATCCGGATTACAACCGCACCAACGTCATCACAGCCAAGAGTGACGTGTTCAGGTGAGCATGTGTGCTCGTTCATTTGCACAACGCCATGAACTTGTGCACCTGTGGTTATGAATCATCTAGGTTATGTTGGAAACTTGTACCCGGTACCTCTCCCCATTGTTTTCCAAGTTCATTTCACTACTTCCAATGCATGGTTGCTTGCAGCTTTGGAATCGTGCTTCTTGAGTTGCTGAGTGGAAAGCCGCCACGAGTCGACGCAAAAACGCATATAAGCAAATGGGTATGATAACAAACTGTTGAGTCTGCTAAGAAACAAGTCAATGGTTATGAGACAATGTTCATGCCCATTTACTCTCAAGTTTATGCTATGCTCGCACAGTTATCCTTAATTCCTTTTATACTGACTTTCACTCCCTTTCTTGTTGCTATGCTCCCTTCCACCACCTTTCCTGCTTACTGGGAATATACGCTCAGACCCTAAAGCGTATAGCGTATATACGCTAGCGTGTGTCCGCAAAACGCAATACGCTAGCAAAACGCAAAAAGGGCAAGAAAACTGAAAGCAAGTTGGCAAACGTTGAGAAGTGAATTGCCGCAGCCTAAATGTCTAACAGCAACTGAACTGTGTTTCGTGCGGATGCAACAGGTCAGTTTCGGTTTCAGGGTTGGTAAGTGAATCCGGTTCCGCCGTACGACACGAGGCGAAATGTGGCAGATCAGATGCATTGCATGAAGCTCCCAACTTATTTTTAAATGCTAGAAAAGTTTTGTTTGCGTTGACTAGTGCAATGCCCTGTTTTAAACAACATGTAACTTTTACAAACTTCTCCTGCCACATCTTTTCCCTAACGGCAGTGAAAGGTTATTGCTAAATCAAGACAGCGAGACTGGACGACAAAGTGGAAGGAGAGTGACAGTGACATTGATCGCTCGCAAGAAAAACATTGGCTCGTAAGGCGAAGAGTGTCTGCATGGCATGAAATACAGTATTTGCAGTTTGGTGAGGGAGGAGAGCCAGGCCAGTCCGTCCAGAGTGCCAGTGAGACCGCTGCCACTCGTACCAGCATTCAACCCAAAAGCTCTGCATGCACATGGGGCATGCAGGCAGCAACAGTGCACATGAAGGGTGCACGCAGGAACAACGATCAATCAAGCTGGAGAGAGCAGAATCAGGGGGTGCAGAGGAGTGAAGGAGGGTGGTAGATGGGCATATTGGATGGACAGGGCCTGGTGCAACATTTAGTTGACCTGGTTTGGAACAATGGAAGAGCAGAACTCACAGGTGGGTGAGGTGAGTGAGAGTGGCGAGGGATGGAATGGGCCCAAACAGATTAAAGTAGGTCAGATCACTGTGGGATGGGATGGGATGGGAGCGCATGAACAGCAGTGGAGATGGCAAGAGGAGCATAAATTGGAGTCTTGAGATCCGTGGCTGGCATTGAGGTTTTGCAGCTTGTGCGGCTAGTGCGCAAGGGAGGCATGCAAGGATTATTTAGGTGCCTCAAAAATCGTCTTGAGATCTGTGGCATTGAAGTTTTTCAGCTGGTGGTACGGCTAGTGCCAAGGGAGGCATGCAATGGCTAGAAGAGGGTATGGTCAGTTGTGTTGTGTGGCATGTGAATGCGAGAACGAGATTGAAGGGCAGAGCAGTACGAGGTTGGGGCGAGGCCATGGCAAACGAAGGAAAGGAATGATAGATGCAATGCAAGATGGATGTAGACTGTAGTGGAGAGAGAGGGAGGGTGGGTGGGTGGGTGGGTGGTGACGCACAGGAGTTGCAGAGTGGAAAGACCGGTGATGGAGGCAGGTATGGAGGGCCTGGGGGAATTTCCAGCAGGCTGCATTAGATTTGAATCCCTGTAAACACACGCATGCATGCACGCAATACCAACCAGCTCCCATTCCTCCCCCATCTCCCGCCCACCCCAGTTCCCTTCCCCAGATATCCAGTCCTCCCCCATCCCACCCCCCACATCCTTCAACCCATTCCCCCCCTTGTCCGGATTGCAATGCTCCAGCATACACACAAGAGGAGCAGACAGCGGAAGGGCGATACAGTGAAACACTGTGGGGGAAAAGAGAGTACTGAGGGGGTGTAGTATCGCCCAGTGCCTTAGAGTCTTAGACAAGGTTGGCCAAAACGAGGGTTATTCAGCGCTACAACAGTCCCCTTGTAACCCGTTGGTGTAAGACTGGAGGCATGACACCCGTGCTGCCCTGGAGTCAAACGTCCTCGTTGGATCAGGGGATCGGCTTCGCAGGAACCTCGGAGTTGGGTTACAACATTCAAATTTTCGCTCCACCACAATTTCAGGCGAATAACTAGGCTAGCTGGATTCGAACCCTAGGCTATGGACGTGTTAATAAAGGGAACCGCGAGTGGCGGAACGGTTCTCACAGGGAAACGACGAGCCCGTTGGGGCTGCAGGTGACGCCATCCCATGCAATGCAGTGCGCGCAATGGGACTCACAGGGAAACGACGAGCCCTTTGGGGCTGCAGGTGACGCCATCCCATGCAATGCAGTGCGCGCAATGGGACTCACAGGGAAACGACGAGCCCTTTGGGGCTGCAGGTGACGCCATCCCATGCAATGCAGTGCGCGCAATGGGACTCACAGGGAAACGACGAGGCCTTTGGGGCTGCAGGTGACGCCATCCCATGCAATGCAGTGCGCGCAATGAGACTCACAGGGAAACGACGAGCCCTTTGGGGCTGCAGGTGACGCCATCCCATGCAATGCAATGCGCGCAATGGGACTCACAGGGAAACGACGAGCCCTTTGGGGCTGCAGGTGACGCCATCCCATGCAATGCAGTGCGCGCAATGGGACTCACAGGGAAACGACGAGCCCTTTGGGGCTGCAGGTGACGCCATCCCATGCAATGCAGTGCGCGCAATGGGACTCACAGGGAAACGACGAGCCCTTTGGGGCTGCAGGTGACGCCATCCCATGCAATGCAGTGCGCGCAATGAGACTCACAGGGAAACGACGAGCCCTTTGGGGCTGCAGGTGACGCCATCCCATGCAATGCAGTGCGCGCAATGAGACTCACAGGGAAACGACGAGCCCTTTGGGGCTGCAGGTGACGCCAGCCCATGCAGAGCACGTGGTGGTGGCGTTGCTGTTGCCCGCCCACATGCCCCACGCCGCATTCAGCTGCAGCAGCACCTTCACTGCCGGCACAACGTGGAAAAGAGAGCACAATGAAGGATGTCGGGCATGATGGTGTTGAAAGGGTTTCCCCAGGGTTTGGCTCGGTCCTCTTCACGCCCGAAGTGCCACAAGAAGCACTGACAAATACCAGAGGGTTTGTGGACTCAGCAGTAAATGTAAGTGTATGTCAACAGTCAACCATGCATACGAGCTGTGTTGTTTACACAATCTCATACCTTAGTCATGTGGGTGGAATACTCCTTTGCAAGGGTCGCATCTCGAGAGTATCGTTGTTGATCCTCCACGTTGCGTGCCGGAGCACCCACTAACATGTTGTCAAGGTCCCTAATGCTGATCTTGCATATGGAGCATGGACGAGCTGATGCGTGTTGCAACGTGCACGTGACTTTGCACGTTTCAGGATAGTCCGCCACATACACGAACATCTTGGGCCACACGGTGTACGCCTCACCGGTCGGATCAAGTAGAGGAATCGATCTACAATGGAAAGGGTTAAATGGATCAAGATGGTGTATGCAACACGGCTTTCACATCCTGTTACTAGCTGTTCTAAGTATCGGAGTTACCAAGACTAGAGCAACAACTTACTCTTTGCATGCTGCGTCAAGAGACTTGAGCACAACTTCGCAGCATTTCTGGAAGAGCTCTGTCTTTTGACTTGGCTCCATTTCAGGATCCGGCAACGGTAGGAGAGCAATCAGGGCATGACCATGTTCCTGCCACCTGGTGCTAAGTGGTAGATTGGCAAAGGACAAGTATACAGGCCAGGCTCTGCACCTCTCATTACCACTCAAATGAGTCTCATCACTTGAGAGAATGAGTGGACAGATGCACTCCCGCGGACCAAGCCCATCCTGCCAAACACATTTCAAGATTATCACACTGATTGCCAAGTACATTGAAGTGTGATGGCGTAGTGGGCCACACACCATTGACAACACTAGCACTATATGTTGTAAGTGCGCTTTGGAAATGCAACCAGGGATGAAATTTAGGCAGCGCGCTAACGTAGTTGCTGAGATGCCACGTAACCATGGGCAGTTCCATGCTATAGCCTGATCGTACAAGTTATGGGCATGTTAACCGATATATCGACATGCAAGATGCATACCTGAGCATCAATCCAGAATGATGCTGTGTGAGCCTCAGCGTACACTCTCTTGTTGTTGACATCCAGCTTCTCTGCCGCACGATGTACAAACCCAGGGGCGTTTCGAGGATCCGCCCACATGCGCCTCAATGCCTGCGTGTTAGCGAAGGTATGATAGTGATCTTCCTATGACGGAGGAGACATGGTTTAGAAGAACTTTCAACTTACCTCAACCCCATCAAGGAACTTGACGGTGAAAGACTTAGGCCATCCCGCCACCCTGATCACAGCCGTTTTGAACTTAATCTTCTCAATCCTGAGCTCTTCCTCGGCGAATTTGTCAACGGCCGCCTTCCCAGCCCAGTCAGCTATTGCTTGCCTATCAAACTTAGGGTGGTTGAGTAGGCGGAAAAACTCTACAACATCAGGTGCACTAAGCCCAGCCCCACGGTTGCAGTGCGCAATGAATCTAAACACCTCAAAACGGGTATCAAAAGTTGCTTCTTCTTCCTCATCGTCAGCAAAGAAAGCTGCGGCGGGGAAGAATTCTGCATCTGGCAGCCCATCCTCCAGCCCGCTTTCAACAGTCTCGTGTATGGACACATCTACTGGATCGTCGGGGCTGGGTAGGGTGCTCCAATCTACACCTGAATATGTTGGAACTAGGATACTAGGGCTCCTACGATATTCTGGAAGTGGATCATCGTCGTGAGTTCTTTCGTGATTGGATACAGCGTTTACACTACTGAAGCGAAGCCTACAAAACCTGCAGGCATAGAAATCCATATCCGACAGGTTTCTGCATACAAAGTACAGGAGAAACATGTACCACTACGGAATAGGTAAGCTCCAGAAAATCTAACGCAGATGTTGTGCGGCAAGGGCTAAGACCACTCACCTAAACGCGACCGACTACCAACTCCACGTCCGATATGCCACCCTCCCACAGTCTCAATCTGCCGATCCACTTAGGTTGCTCAGCTAGGAGTCGCACGCTGGGTTGAGGGAATAGGGAAATGAAGCAATGGGGGATTGGGGAAGCGGGGAAACGACGTAATGAGGGGCACGTAATCGACATGCTGCCATCGCGCCACAGTGCCCATGCACCACCACGTCTCCATGCTCCATGAGCCCTCGTATTCATCGCATCCTCATGTCCCCTATTCTCTTCCCTCCCTCTCCTCCCCCCTCCCTCTCTTCTCCTCGCGCCAAGCAGAGTGCCTGCAGGGCCTCCCCTCGTGCCCACAGTGCTTCGGTGATAACCTCAGGTACTCCCCCATCTCCTCACTCTCCCCCCATGCTATCTCACTGTGTGCATGCATGCCGACTCCCACCTGCAATGCCTTCATGTGCCCCCATTTTTGCACATGCCAAGTGTTTCCCCAACCCATGTGTGCGTCTGCCCCACTCCATCATCCCAACAGCACCTCCCACGTGGATTGACGGGTTGCAGCGTTGGCGCATGCTGCCCCTGCCACCCACCGGATGCTCCCCCTCCAACTCCTACTTCTCCTCCCCGTCCTACTCATCCGCCACTTTACCTGCCAATCACCAAGTCTCACCACAGCAACCCGTCAATTCCCCAACGGTAGCATCACATACGCGTGCATCCCCTAGCGCATCCATACAGCAAGCCAACAGTGCAGGCAGCCCTGCAGAGGGGTATGCTGCTGATGGGGACTCAGACTCGCCACTTGACCGGACAGCCACAAGGGAGGTGGGAGTAGCAGCCATGCAGCTGCCCTCGTGGATGGACACATGCTTACCTCACGACGTATCGTAGGTCACGGTTCTCCTTGCATTGGCACGGTGGCATTGTACCTCTTCTCAGATTGTAACTGTAGCTTGTGCGATGCCACACCGTGCTCCTAGTTTTTGTCCTCTTTGTTGTCTTGTCTCACACATCAAATATGCCAGTTGTCCTTTAGTGCACTAACATTGTATGCAGCCCTTGGTGTGCGCATTTGCACTAACTAACGGTTTTGTTTCAACCATGCATAATTTTGTAGGGAAGGTACTTTTTGTCAGAGGTGCACTGGAGATCCCCGATTGATAATAGGAAAATGTTACAGATACGTTGGCTAGGGGGTGTATGGTCGCACTTGTTGGGAACAATAATTCCTAAAGCGCCTCTGTCGTGTCAAAACCCAAGACACTAAGCGAAGCAGTCCGGATCGAAGCATCGAGTCAACCTCGGAGGTTAGAGTAACCGCCTGGAGGTTACGGGAAAGTCAAAGGTCAGCGACCTTTGACTCGACAACTGCAGCGCAACAGTTAAGGACACACAACTGACTTGTTACAGAGCAGTTGCCCGAGTCGCACTGTATCGAATCGCAAACAGTAAAACGGTTTGAATCTATCTATTCGTATTCCTTGTACTCTTATATAAAGCCTTGTATTTGCTTGTCTTGGACAGTTGCTGCGGGCAACACATGTGCTCGTCTGGGCGCTTCGTACAACGCGAACACCGACTCCAGCGAGAAGTAGTCATCACGGTCGCCAACAATCAAAACCTGCGCACACGACGACAAGGAGTGGTACAGCTTCAGTCAAGAGAAACAAACGTCATACTAATGTGTTGTATTTGTTGTATGCAGGCTCAAGGATGGGTAGGTGGGAGGCTGGGAAATTGACGCGAAGTTGGTAGGAGAACACCAGGGGGTGAAATCCTCGCGACCAATGGGAACAAACCCAACCCAGGCTCAAGCCGCACATTGAGAAATGCACGGCTCGAGCCAGGGACAGGTAAGTTCACTCTCACACACACACACAATGCTTTCTGTTTGTTATCCTTTCGTATAGTGGACATTTGTTACCTCAGATTTGCCTACAGGTGGCACACCACTCAGAGAGGACCTTTGAGGTGAGAGTTACCACTCTTTCATAACAAACAGAAAGGTGCGCGTGCAAGCATGGATGTGCACGAGTTGCGTTATGGCAGGAAGTACGATCGTCGTGAGGGTGATCGCTCGCGGCGGGAGCGCTCACGAGAGCGCGGGCGTTCGCTAGAGAGGTCGCCGCGGAGGCCTGACCGCTCGCCGCGGAGGCCTGAGCGCTCGCCGCGGAGGCCGGCTTTTCGCGCCGATCTGGTCCCTCTCGCGCCAGATCGCCGTGAAGAAGGTGCAGAGCGCGAAGGAAGAGGCGGATCCGAGTCCGTCAGGATGGGAAGTGACCCGTGGCGGACGGATACGCACCACGGGGCTGGTGGCGAATGCGGACATCGCCACGACACGGGAGCGTATCGCTCGCCGGACGAAGGTTACCGCCGTCGCGAAGATCGCAGTCGCGGGCGTGGCCGGGAGGAGCTATTCTCTGGTCGGCAAGGAGATCTCGATGTGGATGGGGAGGGCGAGGTCGATATGGCGGAGAAGCCGCAGGAAATAGATCTCGAGAGTGAAGCGAAGGGCGATGACGAGGCCCATGAGGAAGGCGCGGGCGAGCAGCGCGATATGCACGCCGAAGTCAAGGAAGCCAGTCCGATGCTGGCGAGCGAGGAGGCTGCGCCAGGCGCGGCAGAAATAGGCGGGAAGGATGGTGCGCGGAAACAGACGCGTGGTGAAGAAGGCAACGACGACAGGAGGCGTAGCCGTGGATCGCGCTCGCCGACCCCCCATCAGCACCACGACCAGAATCATGGTGGCGAGAGGCATGCGTCAGATCCGCGGCTGCAGCAAGACAAGAGGCGCGACGGCGGGCATCGCTCGCCAGATCCGCGGCTGCAGCGTGACGAGAGGCGCGGCGGCGACCATCGCTCGCCAGATCCGCGGCGGCAGCGTGACGAGAGGCGTGGCGGCGACCATCGCTCGCCAGATCTGCGGCTGCAGCGTGACGAGAGGCGCGGCGGCGACCATCGCTCGCCAGATCCGCGGCTGCGGCGTGACGAGAGGCGCGGCGGCGGCTACCGCTCGCCAGATCCGCGGCGGCAGCGCGAGGACAGACGTGACGGCGGCAACCGCTCGCCAGATTTGCGGCAGCAGCGTGAGGACAGGCGCGACGGCGGCTACCGCTCGACTGATGTGCGGCAGTGGCACGACGAAATGCGCGGAAGTGGTCACCACTTGCCAGATCCACGGCAGCGTCGTGGGGAGGAGCGCGGAGACAGCACGCGTTCACCAGATCCGCGGAGGTATCACGGCGGGAGGAGCGAGAGGGGCTCACGCTCACCAGATCTGCAGCGCTATCATGATGGGAGGAGCAGAGATGTCCAGCGCTCGCCTGACGCGCAACGGTATCCTGGAGGAGGGTGGAGAGGCGAGGCGCGCTCGCCGGATTGGCGGCAGCAGCTTGAGGAGAGTCACGGGGGCAGACATCGCTCGCCACCGCGGCAGCGGAGCAGGGATATAAGGCAAAGCGGTGGGGCACGTTCGCCAGAGCGTTATCGGCAACATGACGAGAGGCGTGCCGGCGAAGGAGGACAAGATCTGCGCAGCAGCAGAGTGGGAGGCAGCGGGCTGATGGACAGCCTGGAGCGAGCCAGAGAGGCGAGGGAGGGAATACGGCGGGCGGGAGAGAGGGGAACGGCAGGCAGGACAGCAGAGAGATATAGTGAGGCGTGGGGAGAAGGAAAGGGAAGTACAGCCATGGTCACAAGGGTGGAAGTACCAGCACGCTTCTCTGGGGACCAGCGATTGGGGCCCACACTGAAGAATTATCTCATGCAAGTGGGCAACGTGCGGTACAGATGCGAGAGGGGCGGCATGGATGCAGTGGACTTCTTTCTGAGCCTGCCAAACACACTGGAGGGGGAGGCAGAAACGTTATACAGGATGAAGATGAATGAGCTACTGGAGAGGGCAGGAAGGTATGGGGAGGACCCAACCGAAGAATTTCTGAGGCGGCTGAAGCGGCAGTTCCCAGGCCACACTGCAGAGAAGATCAGAGAGTTTCAAGACTTTAGGAAGGGGCGGGGAGAGTCACTACTCACCTACTACAATCGGCTGGTCAACATAGCGGAGGACGTGAGCTGTGCGGACATGGGCCTGCTTGTGAGCAAGTTCCTGGACGGCCTGGAGGGTACCTTGGGAAGCGGGCTGAGGCTGAAAGTATATGAGATGGGGGCTGAAGTGACACTTGATGAAGTGTTTGAGCTAGCTGAGAAGATGGAGATGGCCCAGAGGAAGCTTGAAGCCTACCGGCAACGACCAGCGGAGCGTGGCAGAGGACCTACATGGGCAGCAGCCATGATACCAGAGGAAAAGGAAAGGGCAGGGGGAAGAGGGGATAGCAGGACTGACGCACGAACGTGCCACCGATGCGGGCAGCCAGGGCACCTGCGCAGAGACTGCAAGAACTGCGACTCCTGTGGTAAGCCAGGGCACCGGCGGCGGGAATGCCCAACAGCTCCGAAGTGCGAAATCTGTGGGAAGGGAGGGCATGCAGCAAGGGAGTGTTATCAGCGGGAAGGAGCGGCGAAGAGGACACCAGAGGACCTGGAAAAGCAGATTGGCAGGCTGCAGGCTCAGCTGCAGGCAATGGGACCACGACGCGAGGCAGAAGCGGGGATGTACGCGGGGAAGGAAAAGGAAGAGGATGTAGAGCAAGATGAGGAGGCCGCTTTCATGAGCTGGGCAGGCAAAGCGAAGGATGAGGTGGAACACGAGGAGCAGCCAGCATACATGGCATGGAGAGGAAGGGAGGAGATGGGGCTACGCAGCGGAGGAAAGGATGCACGGAAGGACCAGGTAAGGAAGGAGCGAGAGAGAGGACAGAAACCGGAGGAGAAGGAAGAGAGGTGTACAGCGGCACGGCATCCACAGGAGCGGCTGGCGTGCCAGACTTCAGTGCTGCTGATACAAGGAGGTGCGCTGTCAGTAGAAGGGGAGAAGGCGAAGACGGCTATTATAGACACGGGCGCGCAGAGCGTGATACTAGGGAGGGGAATGGCAGAAAAACTGGGACTGTGGGCGCCGGACAGACATGTAGTGAAGGGAATGCTGGTGATGACAGCAGAGGGAGGAGAGTCAAAGTGGATGCCATGCACAAGGACTCCAATAGAACTGACGGTGCTCAAAGGAGAGAAGCACGAAACACCGGTGAGGATCAGGTGTGGGATCTCAGAATCTGAAGATTTCGACGTTTTGGTGGGCACGGAGATGATCTTTGCACTGGGCATGACCATCTGCTTTTGGAAGGAGACGGTAGAATTCAGAACCAGGTGGTGGAAGAAGGGTGAGCCACTGGGACAGCTGCCGGTGCAGTTCGTCAAGACAGAGCCAAAGCGGGCTTACAGGGCGGATCTGAAGGAGGGGGCAGCGAAGCAGGGGGCACAGGAGACCGCGAGGAACAAGGAACAGGGTGGACAGCCGAGGATGCACTTCATGGACGAGCCCAGCCAACAATCCGATTGGCAGCAACCTATCCGCCTGGTGGAACTCTTCGGGGGCATAGGGGCGGGTTTGGCAGCGGTGGTACGGAACGGGATAGCAGTGAAGCAGTGGATTTACGTAGAGAAGGCGGCAGAAGCAAGGAAAATGGCGGAGCATCATGCATGGCAGCTGCACAGCGAGTTCCCGGAGCTGTTGAAGGAAGAGGTGATCAGGGCAGCAATGAGCAGAGGAGTCAACGACGTCAGGGCCATCACAGAAGCTGAGGTGGCAAGCTGGGGGCACGTGGACCTGTTAGTGGCTGGGTGGGAGTGCCAAGGGGTATCATGGGCTGGGAAAGGCAAGGGTGAGCAAGACCTGCGAACACAGCTGATGGAGGACTTGTTCAGAGTGATGGAATGGCTGCAGGCTCAACAAGGCAGGGTGGCGTACCTGCTGGAGCATTTAGACATGGAAGGAGATGTGCGTGAGCCCATACGGCTGGTAAGGGAGCGAGTGACCAGACAGGTGGGAAAAGGGGTAAGCTGCGACGCAACATGGATGGGAGCCTACTCACACAGGCTCAGAATGTATTGGCAAAACGTGGTGCCAGCAGAAGACCTGCAGAGGGAGATAGAGGGGGTGAGAAGAGCAGGGGGGCGGAAGCTGAGCGATATACTCGAGCCTGGGCGAACACCAGCACCAGTAAGCAAGAGGAGCTACAGCCGACATTACCCTTGCAACACAGTGGGGCAAGAGAGGCAAGCACTGCCGACGCTCGTGTCATATGAAGGGGCAGCAGGGTACCAGATGGAGGGGAAGCAGCCAGGCCCAGGACTAGTGCTCGATCATAGGAAGGGAAGATGGGAAGAGCCCACGGCCCTGGAGAGGGAGCTGGCTATGGGGTACAAGGAGAACATCACAGCAGCCCCGGGCGTGACAGAGCAGGAAAGGAGGCGGGCGATGGGGAATGCAATGGATGGATACGTGATGAGGTGGTTGGTGCAGCGGATGTGGAGAGAAACGGTGCTGCACTGGGGACTGAAGGAGGGAGAAAATACAGAGGCAACGGTGAGACAAGGGGTGTGGACCTGCCTGCCAACAGCAGAGCCTGAGTGGAAGATAGGAGAGAGCATGAGCGAGGGAGGGAAGACAGCGATGCTGGCACTACTGGTCAAGCACAGGAAAGGCTTCGCTTTCATCCTGCAGGAGTTGGGGAAGTGCAAGATCAAGGAGATGGCATTGAAGCTGAACAGTGAAGAGCCGGTGTTCCATCGCAGAAGAAAGATGCCACCAGGGGATGAGGCGATCTGCAAGGAGAAAGTACAGGAGTTGCTGGAAGCAGGACTGATCAGAAGGTCAGAGTCAGAGTACGCAACCCCGACCGTGGTGGCAGCCAGGAAGGATTTGACAGGCGAGGTGCTGAGCCGCAGAATGTGCGGTGATTACAGAGATCTTAACAAGATCACCGTGCCGGATAGGTACCCCATGCCAATGGCGGAAGAACTCTTCGACAAGCTGGCCGACGGAGTATACTTCACGACGCTGGACCTGCGCCAGGGATTCAATCAGATAAAAATCAGAGAGGAAGATGTGAAGAAGACAGCCTTCCACGGACCGGACGGGCTGTATGAGTGGTTATACATGCCCTTTGAGTCGACTCAAAAGTCACCTCGTTATACATGCCCTTTGAGTCGACTCAAAAGTCACCTCGTTACTATGGCACACGACATTTTTTCATCAAGGAGAGCTATAATCGCATGGAGATTACCTAAGAGAGTTGGCAGTTATTTGATTTCTGCTAATAAGTGTTAGACTACAGTAGTTTTGTTGCTGTTACACTTTTTCTCTCATCTCGCTTTTGCCTGTTGTTCCCGTACTCGCCGCAGCGAAGATTTCCCGCGCGGGCCTGAGTCTAGGATGACATTTTCTAGGCATATAAAGTAGTACGCGTTCAGTAGATCGCTTGTGGTCTGAAGAAGGCATTTTAGCCGAAACCGGTTACCACCGTGATTTTTATACAAGCATTTTTTACAAAGTACTACTGACATTTTACAGGTGTTGAACCCAAGTTGCTGCCACGTATTAAAGCAATGGCACCTAACTGGTGTCCACTTCCGCTGATACCTGATACTACTGCGATGGCCAACTACACATTTGTTGCAACCAATGCAACCAACACCAATGCAAACCAAGACAACACCAAGATTATCCACGCTCAACGTCACGCGCGTCTCTCGAAGTCCAAGAACACGAGAGCCAGCCGTGATGATAAAGAGCTGGCTGGAGTCCTGAAGATTTCAGAGTCTCCTTCTTTTCGATCGAGCAAGAGAAAAGCCTGCGACACTTCAGTCCCTGCTTCTACTTCTGCAGCAACCGTCCCTGCTATCAGACCTGCCGTTGAGCCCGCTGAAAGGCCTTCGAAGGAACCTGAATCTGCAACCATGGCGACGCTGCGACAAGAGTCTGCTCATCAGATCCACGACACTGTCATGCTGGATCCGTTCGATTTTCTTGGTGACATTAACAACCTTTTCCTTGAAAAGCAGGCGACGCCTACCTGCCTTGAGGATTTTAAGCTGCAAGCTGTTAAGGATTTCAAGAAGAATTTCCTGAAATACCGGACTCTGAGCCTGCAGTACACCTTTATGGAGGAGCAGAAAACTAACGGGATCATTCCCCATAGTATTCGGATCAAGCCTTTCGCTTTCGTCTGCCACTCCGAAGAACTCCGTCAGGAAGCCGATAAGGAACTCCAAGCCGCCTGTTTGAACTACTACAAGGGAGCACAGGACGTTCTGATTTCAATGAAGAAGAAAGCTGCTGAGCAGGCACGCAATGATACTGCTGCTGTTTACCAGCGTCTTCAGGATCAGATCGCGAACTACATCAACCTTGCTAAGAAGACTGACATCGGCACCAAAAACTCGAAGCTGACTGACAACCTTACTTTTTTTAAGGATCGCGTGATTTCTGAGTTTAAGGACGCTATGTCGGTTTTTGTGATGGAGACTAACCTTTCGGAAATTCATGTGAAGGAGC